CCTCAGCTTCGAAACAACAGACGAAAGCCTCCGCAGCCACTTCGAGCAATGGGGCGCCCTGACCGACTGCGTGGTAAGGCCTGACCCGCGCCTGCCTGCCTCCTCGCGGGGCTCTGCGCTGCGAGGAGACGTGGTTTGCGTTGGGCTTCTCCGCCAGGCTGAGCGGAGTCAAAGCGGTGCAGGAAGCAGCTGAGCTCCTGCCTCTGTGCAGAGACAAGGGTGGGCAATTGAGTTTCGGCCCTCAGGGGCTCTTGTTGTGACACCTCTGGGGAGACCTGGCTCTCTGGGGCTCTCAGACCGCTGTTATCCCAGGTGGTGTAATACTGAGGGGCTCGAAGCGTATTTATTTGGGTTAAATGGAAAGTGGTTGCTCTGGGTGGAAGACCTGTCTGCTTGGGCCAGGACCTGCCCGCAGAAGGGAGAGGTGAAGGTGCTGAGGGACAGCGTCAGGATGGAGCAAGCCCCGGCCCCAAAATATCTCCCAGTTTCCCTGAGCTGTGGCGTAGGGACACCCTGAGGCAGCGCCAACGTCTCTGCATGCGGCAGCTGGTCCCTGATGGTGTCTTTGAGAAGAGCAGGGTTGGTGCTACCTGGTAACCAGCAGGCTAGGACCCCCGTTTGCTGACGGCTCGTTTAGTACCTGTCGCTGTTCCTTGTCTGACGTGGGTTTGTCCTCCCAGGTGATGCGGGACCCAAACACCAAGCGCTCGCGAGGCTTTGGGTTCGTCACGTATTCCTCAGTCGAAGAGGTCGATGCTGCCATGAACGCCAGGCCACACAAAGTCGACGGCAGAGTTGTTGAACCAAAGAGGGCCGTTTCCAGAGAGGTAGGAACCCGCGTGAGGTGCGGACGCTCTGCGGGGCTGCCGGGAGGCGCTGGGCACCTGACGCAGCCAAACCGTGCCCGTGCGCGCGGTGACCGCCGCGATGTGCCACGTCCTGGTGGTGCCAGGAGCTTTTCTGAGGCTCAGGTGATGCCTCGGGCCGTGGCTCTCCCAGCTAGTCCTGCAGCGGTCAAGAAACGCTTTTGGACCTCACTGTTAAGGGCTGAAGGGACCTGGCTGAGGGTAGAGATGGGGCGTAGAAGGCTCAAGGCTGGCCTTGGGGTGGGTCTGCACGGCCTGGATAAGCGGTAACCAAAGCGGGGCAGAACTGCCAGCTCTTCTAGGCTTAAACACCTCGCTCCGGGCCTGGCTGAGAGGGTAACCGCTTCCGAGTGCTGCTGGATGGCTGGTGACTGAGCACGAGGGTGAAGGTGCTGAGGACGGAGGCTCCGCAGCCTGGTTTTTTTTTTGCCCGGGAGACCTGGGCGTGCGGTGCTGCCCCGTTTCCGCCCCGTTTCCACCTCACGCGTTGTTCCCGCAGGACTCCCAGCGGCCCGGGGCCCACCTCACAGTCAAGAAGATCTTTGTGGGCGGCATTAAGGAAGACACAGAAGAGCATCACTTGAGAGACTATTTTGGCCAGTATGGCAAAATCGAAGTCATTGAGATCATGACAGACCGCGGCAGCGGCAAAAAGAGGGGCTTCGCTTTCGTCACCTTCGATGACCACGACTCCGTCGACAAGATAGTCAGTAAGTCCGGCTGCGGGGAGGGTGCTGGGGGCGCGGGATGGGCGTCCGGCTTGACGGCAGCGTCCTAAACGCCGTTTCCTTCCCTGCAGTTCAGAAATACCACACTGTGAACGGGCACAACTGCGAGGTGAGGAAAGCCCTCTCGAAGCAGGAAATGGCCAGCGCTTCAGCCAGCCAGAGAGGTGAGCGCTCAAATCTCGCCCCAGCTCCCCGCTGCCCCGAGCTGACGCTAGACGTTACTGTCTGTGCTGTTCCTAAAGGCTGTCCCCCTCCC